TTTTTTTTTTTTGTCTTTTGACATCCAGCCTCAGAACTGAAGGGTGGATAGCTGTCACGAGGGTCTGGGGCTTTCCCCTTGCCCTTCCCGGGGAGGGGGGAGCTGTGCAGACAGCGGCACGGCGACGTGTGACGGCATGCTCGTTTGCTTGTTTCTTTTTGGGGAGTTCTATCCACTTGTTTGGCTTTTTGTAGCAATTTTCACCAGAATAGGGGTTTGTTTTGGAATGCTTACCTTTCTGGGTGCTTGACCTGGTCGATGGCAGACATAGAATGCTTCCAACCTCACGGGGGTTTCTATAAGCCATTGCTCCCCTTGCCTCTCTGAGGGGGCCAGGTTCTGGCTTATTGTCCTCGGTAGGCCCACAGAACTCCATACACATGACTGATGCCAAAGTCTGACATTAGTATATCAGCCTGGATAAGCTCCAGGGAGCCTCCTGGTCTCGCCCAGAAAATGGCGTTTATTACATTCAATGCTGTTTTTTTTTAGGCTTCAAATGTTGACATATACGTCAGCATATATGGTAAAAACTCTGCCTGTCTATTTGTATACGTACATATCTCCGGTCATCCGGATTCTATGAACATTCCATCCAGATAGGGATATAACATCCATAGGCAATTTTGGTCAGATTAGCTGGGAGGGGGCTGGTTGGCCGAGCGGACAGCACGCTTGACTTGTGATCCTGTGGTCCCGGGTTCGATCCCAGGCGCCGGCGAGAAACAGTGGGCAGAGTTTCTTTCGCCCTATGACCCTGTTACCTAACAGTAAAATAGGTACCTGGGTGTTAGTCACCTGTCACAGGCTGCTTCCTGGGGGTGGAGTCCTGGTTGAGGACCGGGCTACAGGGACACTAAAAAGCCCCAAAATCATCTCAAGATAACCTCAAGATAACCATCTCAAGATAGCCCGTTTTCCTGATCAGCGGACTCCGGATTAGCCAACTTCTACAGTAATACAATATTATACATTTATAACACTATACTATAATAATGTACTAATGCCTAGATGGCATAGGGTCACATAGATACATAATAAAAAAATAAATAATTGCAGTATATTTCAGTCTGTGTATTGTGACATTTACCAGCAGGTGATGTATAGTTTGTTTTAGTTAGACTGAAATATACACTTAATTATTTTCCTGTTTCTGTCTCCATGTGTGTTTGCTTGTGCTACTAAACAGTGTTGTTTACACTTTTGTGATGGCCTTGAGTTATTTTTTTTGGGTGGGAGAGGGTGGTGTGTCGCTCCTTGATGCTACAACCTGGCAATGACCAAGCTCTGGGGACAGCCCATCCTCCGAATATCGGGAGGTAAATGTAACGGCACAAGTAAGTGTAATTATGTACTATTCCTAGCAGTCAAGAATTGTACTTATTACACTTAGTATTAAACCGAACTGTCAAATAATCGCCAGAATCGCGCCAAAATATTGTGAATATTTGAGTTTACCTGAAAAGCTGAACAGAAAACCACAACCTAACCTAACCTTAGTGTATGAGGACAAGCATTTTATTGTTTCTTAATTACAGTTAGTACTTAACCTATAGCTATATTAATATTAGTTTTATAAAACTAATTAAACAAAACTAAAATCTTTCACTAAATTATAAAGTAACTCAAGATATTTTCAAATTTTGTATAAAACCTCTATTGTTTAATAAAACTGAAAAACAAATTCTTTATATTTAAACTTGTGTACTGTATATAGAATTGAACATGAAACTTCATCCTAAAATTCTGAGTGTTTTAACAGAAAACGAGGAGAATATATGGGGAGGTAAATATAACGGCACAAGTAAGTGTAATTATGTACTATTCCTAACAGTCACGAATTGTACTTATTGCACTTTGTATTAAACCATACTGTCAGTTCGGAGGATGCGTTGCTGGGGATCACACCGTGCCTATAAAGACTCACGAGCACCAACCAAGGACATGGACCACAATGTGGCACTCCTCTTAGAGAGATGGGAGCCTGGAGATCACAGACCACCATAGAACCAAGAAAAATGCTCAATAGAAGGCCAAAGCACTTCAAAACAAGCAACTGCTTGGAAAATTTGTAACTGATAAAAACCATGCAAACACTCCTTACTGCTGGGAAATTCCTGCCGGTATATACCTGCTTGCCAACAGATAGCAACCCAGGCAACCCTGGGTGTCGGTCAGCTAGTTGTCCCATTCATAAACCTGGTGTTGATCTAGGGCACACTGCTCTACAGAGACCCACAGTCTTCTTTCTACTGTAAGATAAGTGGTGGTGGTCATCCATGGAACAGTTGTGTGTAGGGTGATTGTGCTTCACGTGTGTTGTGTGACTCCCATCTTGTGTGTGGCCTTTGTCTGCATTTTACTACTGCTCTGAAATTAAGGTTATCTTTCCTGGTAACCTACTCACATTTCTCCTGCTTCTGGATTATATTCCTTTTGGTGTTTGGGCTGGGTCCTCTACAAGCTGGCTCCTCTTGAGTCATCTTGCTCCTGGATTGAAGATGGGTTTCTCCTCTGCAAGGCCTGTTGAATGGGAAGTAATTGTAGTTAGCACTAGTAGCTCCAGCTGTGCTTCCCAGGTGGCCATATTCTATTCCTCTTGCTTAACCAGAGTGGTCTTTTCTGTGGGGCCTGTGCTTTGTTCTTTGCGAGCTGTCTCTTTTTTTGAGCTAATCAAGCTGTGACTCGTATGCCAGACTGTGAACATCTGCATCAAACAACTTGGTTGACCAGACTACCAACCAGGAGGCCTGATCCAAGACTGGGCTATGGGGACGATGAACCGCGGAATCATTGACATGATAAATGACGGGAGCTTTGCAGATTTGAGGTTCCTATTTCTAGCTGTTTGTTTGAGAGGCTGTTGTGCCTAGCCATTGGCCAGGGACATATATGTGGCTATTCTCAAATAAAAAAATTACTGGTGGCTTAGGTTTTCTCTCTCTAAGTGGCTGTTTAGTTAAGTGTTGGGGTCTGCTTGGGTGAATATGCATTCCCTGTGCCTTACCTACCTGCTTATCTGTTGACAACTGGCCAGTTCCCCTCCTCAAAACTCATTCTGGTGGACCTCCAGGCCGGAAAGCACCGAGTGGTTTTCCTGGCTGCTGGCATGTATTCTTGAAGTTACACTGTTCTGCCTGTTGATTACAAGTCCTCTTGATCATGGGTGTATGATATTTTTATTGATGTTGGTCTTCAGTTTTAGTTTAATCACTTTTGTGGTCAGTGGTTTACAAGGCAGTGGCTGCATTTTGGGGTCAAGACGCCTGGTTCCTTTATTTCATGTCCACTTGTAGACTCGGGCAAAGGGGTGGTGGACCCCTCACCCCTCTTATTCTACGTGGTGGATATCAAAAGCTTGGGTTTGGACACTTCTGTACGGTTCCTTCTTGTACTTTGTCTGCTGCTGCTGTTGGGCTCTCCCATCCGGCTTGTGTTTGCTAAGCTTTTCAGTTGGTTTGGGGGCCCAAGAGTGGCTTTGGGCAGTGGGTGTGTATGTGCTCTAATGGATTGGGCATGCAGGTGTATCTTCAGGGGAATGCCCCACCTGAGTTGCTGATGGAGGTAGCAGGGCCTACTAATCCCCTCCCTCACCAAATGTCTTTAATGTGTACATTTGGATTTTGTGTGTGTGCAGATTTGGAAACTTCTCAAATCTATTCTTTCTCACTTCCAGCTCACTTACCAGCATCTGGACAGGATATTGATCCTATCCTAGAATATTCTTCCTCTCTGTTGAGAAAGGCTCCTGGTGGCACTTGGCCCCTTGGTGCCTGGCCCTCTGTGTTCTTGCTCCATGCCTCTTGGTACTGTCCTGCCAGAATTGGAGGTCAGACCTGATGCCAGTGCTTCTTCCAGTGCTTAGTTCCATGTGGATTTCTACATTTTGTGTATGGGTTGGGGCTTCGGTTTCAGGATTTTTGTTGCCTGTTCCTTGGTAGAGAATTTGTGTTCAATTGTTCATAGGTTTTATGCCTGGCTGTCTCCAGGCCATGTCACCTAGTTGTGTGCCAGCCCATGTTGTCCATCAGGCACCACGCTGTGGTGCCTGATGGGCTACTCCCCAAGCCCGTGGGCGGGCTTGGGGAGTAGAACAACTCCCAGAACCCCATCAAGCAGGTATCAAGCAGATATCAAGCTGTGCTTGGCCAACTGGCACCGGGTCGTGTTGATCCTGGAGTTTTTCAGCCATTCTAGGAGGCGATCTCTTGACTGGGAAGGTCTTTGATTTCCAAACCCATGACCACACAGCTATTGTCTCATCTGTTTGGTTTTGGATAGTTTGTTTGGTGGAAATTTTCTGGCTATTTCTTCGGGCGGTGCGGGAATAGCACAGCTGGCTGGCTAAAACCCTAAGTTGCATGTTGGCAGCAGTTATATTTTGGCAGGAATTTCCCAGTAGTAATGTTTCCTTGCATGTTTGTCATCAGGGGTTACAACATTTTCCAAGCAGTCTCCGTGGTGTAGTGGTAAGACACTCGCCTGGCGTTCCGCGAGCGCTATGTCATGGGTTCGTATCCTGGCCGGGGAGGATTTACTGGACACAATTCCTTAACTGTAGCCTCTGTTTAATGCAACAGTAAAATGTGTACTTGGATGAAAAAACGATTCTTCGCGGCAGGGGATCGTATTCCAGGGACCATAGGATTAAGGACTTGCCCGAAACGCTACGCGTACTAGTGGCTGTACAAGAATGTAACAACTCTTGTATATATCTCAAAAAAAAAAAAAAAAAAAAAAAAAAAAAAAAAAAAACTGTTGCTTGTTTTGTGGCACTTTGGCCGTCTGGGGGCTTTTTGCATATTTTTTTTTTTTTAGTTCCAGGCTCCCTTCACATCTTTTAGGGAATCAGATTCAGGTCAAGGTCCTGGGTAAGTGATTGTGGGCCCTTGACAGACCCAGGATCAAGTCTTGGATATGGCCTGGTTGTTGCATTATGGAACCACTGAGTGGCTCACAGAAACAAGTATTTCATTACATTTAATGCTGGACTTTTTCAGGTGTGTATCTACCACTACTCTGGGAACCATCATTTTGTTGGAAGTCGCCTATTTCTTTAGGCTACACCCGAGGTCACTTCTCTGCATTAGTTCCCATGGAACCTGACTCTCCAGATAATTTAGGGGCCGGTAAGTTTTTATGTAAGAATGGAAGCTTGTGTCATTTTATCTATTTTACGAATTATACATTGCATGTTTAAGTACATTACATTATAGCTGAATTGGTTATCTTTCTGCGTTGCACCGCATGGTAACTGAGATTTATAAATCATCTCCTTACACTTTACTCTCCACATTTTTTTATTGACAAACACCTGCATAAATTTAATAATTCATTCATTTTGCCTTTAACATATAGAAAAAACTGAATTCTTACTGTACTTCAAATGTGGTTCTGCTTCTATATAGTTTTTGGCCTACTCAGTATCTCCCATAAGCTTATTGTACTGGCAGTCCAGAGCCACAACTGATTTGCCAGATCCTTGTGACTCTCAACTTGCCGAGAGCAAGGGATAGAATCTTGCTGTCTGCACAGGGTGAGGTATCTGTATTCCACATGTGGTGAAAAGATCAACTCACCACTACTGAGGTGAATTGCCCTCAAGGAAGTTACAAAATGCTCAACACCCTTTGAGAAATGTTGTGGAAAGGCCGAACACTCAAACAGTAGTATTTAACCAGCGAGAAAGCGGCATTTTCCAATCCCTCCCACTACCTGATACTTACGGTAGGCAAGCACCATGTGTCGGCCCTAGCCACTTGAGGCTTTGACAAAGCACCTCCCATCACTCTGTCGTCTGGTGCACATCCAATTCTACTTTAGCTATTCCTTTGGAGATTTGTTTCAACTTTTCATGTAAGTGGGTAGTTTCTTTTGAATTTTGGTCTTAATCTGGGGGCCCATGCCTTGAATGTATTTTATGAATGTGAATGTTAGTCACCTTGGATTGTGTCTTGTATTCACAGTTTTGTTTAGGCTTTGTATCAAAGTCTCATTTCATAGCACCTCTAGCAAGAACCATTCACCACCAGAATTATGTGAACATGTTCGTGGAAGATGCAAAGACACTGGGGAAGATGGGACACACAGACTATTGTAATGGCCTTCAAATTGATCTAGATTAAATAAGTGCTTGGAACATTAAGTGGCAAATGGAATTCAATGTGAATAAATACCATGTTATGGAATGTGGAATTGGAGAAAATAGACCACACACAAGTTACAAATTGTGTGGAATAGAATTACAGAAATCCAATAAAGAATGAGACTTAGGGGGTGGTTTTGGGTAGTAAGCTGTCGCCAGAGGAACACACAAAGAACACTGTGAGAGGAGTGTATGTGTCGCTTTCCAACTTCAGACTTGCTTTTAATTATGGATGGTGAAATACTAAAGAAACTTTTTATTGAATTTTGTGAGACCACAACTGGAATATGCAGCAGTTGTATGGTGCCCAAATCTCAAGAAACACACAAATACACTGGAAATGGTGCAACAGAATGCTACAAAATGGCTTCCAGAACTGAAAACGAGTTATGAGGAGAGACTAGAGGCATTCTATTGCAAACATTTTGATACCAAATGAACGACGTACAATGAAAATTCAGGTGATAAAACTGAAAAGAGTATACACATTTCAGTGTTGCCGTGTTCTCGTTAAAAACGCCCAGGCCACCTTGGGATAGTATGGCGCGTGCACGCCCAGAACGTGAACGTATTAATGTGCATGGTATTAATAGTTCCTTGTCATTTTTTGGCTCCTGATGCCCTCTTTTATATAACATTGATATATTTTGGTGTATTGTTGCTCTATGCACAAACTTTGACATCTGGTACCTCTGCTTGAAGGTTAGTTTGTTGCAGACTATCATTTTCTGTGCTTCAGGGAGGTAATCACAAAAAGGCTATACTTTACATCATTATAATAAAAATAACTTGGGGCTCTTGGAGAGAGCCCATTTTTGCAAATAGTGCCAGACCAACCAGGCTGTAGTGAACGTGGGCCTGCAAGCCGCTCCAAGCAACAGCCTGTTGGACCAAGTTTTCACAAGTTGAGCCTGGCCTTAGGCCCGGGCTCGGGGAGTAGAAGAGCTACCAGTACCCTCTCCAGGTAAGGGAAGTAGGGTTGAAGCATTTCCCTACTTTCCATATTTCCAAGAGTATATGGTCTTTTAAATACTCTTAACACTTACGCATCGTGATGACGTTCTTGCAGTCAATAAATCAATACACGCAGTGTGGGACATGATGGTAATGCAGTCAACAATGAAAATATTAAAATATTTGCAAAAATTCCATTTGTTGAGACTTGTTTTAAAATGCACGCTAATGTCTTCCTATTCTCTATACACCCCACGTGGCATCACAACACCACTGTGTGGGTGGCCACTTGATGATGTAAGTTATCTTATGGTATTGGTAATGTTGTTCTTTTATTTGACCTTATATGCATATATATCCCTTTAGAGCATTCTATTGCAAAGAATTTGATACCAAAATGAACGCTGTAGCACAAAAATTGAGGTGAGAAAACTGGAAAGAGTATAAACATTGGAGTGTGGTTGTGCGCTCACTGGCAACGCTCGGCCTACCTTGTGGAGCGCAGCAGGTGGCCCACTGGGCCAGGCAAAATGTTAAACTGCTCCCATTTCCTTCAAGCGATAAGAACTGTTGTGCTAATTGCCGGTGGGAGACTAGAGGTGCCCTATAATATTCTCAAGTCCGAAAGATTCTGTGTGGACATCTTGCGATGAGGATTACATATCTCTACTGATTCAGTTGTGATGGATCTCCCACCCAGTTCAGAGTCTGACTCTGCTGCTTACAGCTTTTATGAGTTTGCTTTCTCAATCTCTAGATTCAAAACCAGATTCAGGATTTGGTGCTGGGCTCTGACCCCTATTCCATAGCATGTTGGTATCTGTTGTGAGAGGGTTTTAGGGTTTAGTGAGTTGCTATTGGGTGCCCTTGGTGGTCTTACTGGAGGGACCGAACAGTGGCTCTCTCTAGCTAGTTGCACTCCCAGTGCCTGGAAGCACCTGTCTGGCTTATTACCGGCAGGCCCTGGCATTCTCCAGCGGGCCTCTGACAAGGTCAGTTATTTATAAAGGACAGCCTCTTGAACCTGCTCTTGCCAATTACGATTTGAAGGCCGTTTTCTTTTTTTTATTATTATTATTTTCTACCACAGACATAGCTACACATTTACAATGCTAACCAGCATATATACATTTTCTTCTGTCCTCCATGGACAGGGTTAGAGAAGTGTTAAACATATAGTTCAAGGGTTTATTGAACAATCAACCAGAGAAGGTGATTCAGTGCTTTTAAAATGCTAAGCTAACCTACATACGTAAATACATAGATACACAGATTTATGTATGCCTCACATAGTGTTCGATGTGTCTTTTACATAGTCATTAATGTGCATTTACAAAGGAGAAATGTAATTCTGATCAGCTTCCTCATATACTTTATACACATACTTATACATACACATATACGTAAATATACATATATACATACATATTTACACATGCATACACAAACATTTCTCTATTTTACTCTGACAGGGTGAAATAGCTGATGTAGAAACTAGTGTGCAATTTAGCACTTAATCACTAAAGGTGATTAAGGTGCTTTTACAAGCTCAGGGTATATAGTTACATCACATACATACATTGATAATTGATACAGTACATGGTCAATCTAGGGTACAAGTCCAATATATCATCAAGTGTTCAAGTACTCATGTAGTAGTTACAGAGTTCAGCATATCTTAGCCCAGGAGGGCGAAAGTCAGTCAATATGGGACATTCTACAATATAATGTTCAAGAGAGTGCATGTTTTCTCTTTCACAAAGTTGACACATTGTGTACTCAACATTTGGGTTTTGAGAAAGCTGCCAGATATGTCTATATCTCAGACTTATTCTGGCCACTATAACATCACATTGCCGAGTTCTTGTTCTATTAGTGCCATATGTGAATGTCTCCTCACTATATCTATTATAATATTTAATGCTACAACTTTCAGGTCTTTGTGAGTTTATTAGGTCAGTGAGATTTTCATTAGATATTTGTTTAAGTATTCTCTTTGTCACTGCTAATGAAATGCCCAACACCCTTTAAGGCTGTTTGTTGCATTTGTTATCTGGTGATGGTCATTCTTTATGCCTCTGCTATGCTGCCTGTTGGGTTGATGGTTCTTATGACCTCAAATCCTGTGGAGTTTGTTCCTTACAGGTTTTGATCCTCTTGGATCCTTCCTCTGAGGCAGAAGCATTTCAGGCAGCTGCCACATTACAGGCTAGGTTTGCCTGGTTTCAGTGTTAGCAGCTTGGTGCTCACTTGGAAGACCTGTGTTTGCCCCCTGGAATGTTTAGGGACCTGTAATTGAAGGTGTTGACCACTACCCTGGCACTGGCCGCACCTCCTCTTTGTTCCCAGGCAGGTGTGGTTTGCCCTGCTTCAGTTCCAACCTTTTCCTGCTTCCAGCTCCAAAATGTCTGAAGTTTCATTTCTAAGCAGAGTATAGCTGTGGGTGTAACTCTGCAAATTCTGGGGATTGCCCCATCCTTTCTTGAGTGTGGAGGTAGTTGAGCCATCTAGTCCTGCCAAGGTTACGCAATTTTCTCCTTCACAACAGCATATTTCCTTTTACCTTCTCGGGAGAACGCCTTTCTTTCCCAGGCATTGGACGAGGACTTTGGCTATCCTAAAGTTTTTAAGACAGGCTTCCTATCGTGGGGGAAAGCCCAATTTGGGCCCTTCGATGCCCATGAATTCTTGGTATCCCCCCCCCCCACATGGATTCTTTGTATTCTCCCCCCTTTTCCCTCTGACCTCGAACAGATAGACATTTCCATTATATATACTGTATAAAGTAAACAATGAAACTGTATAGGTAAATTTTGTCAGTAACTTGAACACACTTTAGACAACACATTTCCGATTTCATCCCGTTTCCATTTCATACTACAGTGCGTGAAAATTGCACATTGGGGGGGCCAGAGTTACAAGCATTCTCACACTTCTAGACTCACTGCTACCTGAGCATGTACTAGGATTGAATGAAAAACTGTTCCCATGATGCATACTGTAATTAGAGTTTCTCGGTGTTGATAATGGAATTTTTGTGGCAGCATGGAAGTTCCACGACAACCAACGTTTGTAGCCAATTGCTACTGGAGTGGTATTGGTACTGTGTACACAGTGGGGGGGGGGGAGGGTGATCTTTTCAGTTATTATTGAATGTTCTGATTGGTTTCCTCAGTTCTGGTTAAATCTCTGATCCGTAGGCTCTCCTCACCTCATAGACATAGCCAGATTCTGGTACTGGCTCCTGGTAGGTTGGCATAGATCTCCGAGGCCTGCTTTAATTCATAAGTTTAGCTATTCCAGTGTGTAAGCAACATCTACTGAAGGCCTTCCAGCAAAAGGGGTTTCATTGCATTCAGTGCTTGATTTGTTCCTAGCTTTGTTAGTAGTGTCAATAGCTAAAAATATAGACTGATATGCAAGTGCAAGTTCTTATTTTGTTCACGTCTGTCACTATAGGTACAGCACACGTCTATCATTTTGGAGAATGACTTCGAAATAATCTGTCTGCTATATGTACTTTAATTTAGATTTTATATTCATTTTTATATTTTATGATTTTATTAGTTATTGACAATTTTCTTCCTGCCTCTCAATAAATATATTAAGTATGTTCATGCCTTGTTTTTCTCCCTCAGGTGCAATTTTAGATGCTGGAGAGTCTCAGGTTGTATTTCTTCCTTTGATGACTCACGATGCCAAACTTCTGCCTGTGCATTTTCTCACACAAGCTGAAGTAAGTATATAATTTCATAAATTTAAAGCTTCTGAAGAGCATAGCTCTTGTTGGAAGTACTGTACAGTACACTGTTTCTTGCACAGCAACTTTAAACTCTCCATTTCAGTGTAGGATAAAAATTTTGATTCATTTGTCAGTTTAGTGTGACCTTCTGATATACACTAAACTGATTTAGTTTCACATGCTTTTCTGATTTAGGACCCCCTTGATCATTTCCCGAACCAGGACCTGACTCCACCCAGGACACAATATATGTACTGTTTGCACTCGCTTATCCAAATTTCGCTAAACCAGATATTTGGGTTATCTAGCCAAAATCACTTCCGGATATTTTTCTGGCAAAACTTCACGGTATCTGGATAGCAATCTGGATAACCAGAGGTTTGGCTGGATAGTGCAGACTACCACAGATTCTGAAACTGGTTGATACCTGGTTGATGGGGTTCAGGGAGTTGTTCTACTCCCCAAGCCCAGCCCGAGGCCAGGCTTGACTTGTGAGAGTTTGGTCCACCAGGCTGTTTATCAAGTGCAGATAACTTTCAACCAACTTCACCATATCCAGACAGAAATCTGGGAAAAGGGAGATGTTACCAGATACTGCAGGCTGGCACCAGGCACCATATTAATCCTGTCCAGCAGTGGCTCAAGGTGCGGGGTATGGGAGGTGTTGGGATGGGTAGCACAGTTCCTCTATTTGGCAACTGCAGCTTGTCCACCCTTTTAAGACCACCGTTGCTTTTGAGGTTCTGCTTCTTTTTCTTCGAAGCAGTCAAGTAGAGCCTGATGTTGGCCAACTCTGGAGTCAGAGAGAAGGTCACAAGCGGTTCTCTCAGCCTGTCATTCTCTGTATGGTCGGCGCCGTGCTCGCTCTTTTCAGAAGGCAGCTTCTCATGGTTCATGCCAGCCTATTCATGGAGTACCAGGGGAGTTGAGGTCAGCTTGCCCTATTTGCCGACTCTTGCGGTGAAGTTCGTCGGTTTTCCCTCTCCTGTGGTTGTTTTTTTCCAGCCAGGCTTCCTCTCCTTGCCTGCGTTGAGTCTTTTCAGAGTGGGTGGTTTCCAGCATGGTCAAGATGACTTCCTCGCTTCTTTGAGTTTCCCCAACACTTCCTGGTCCCGAAACAAGAATTGATGGACCTCTGGTTCATCCTTGATTTTTTGCAGCTGAACCACTTCATTCCTTGCCCCTCCCTCCAGATGCCCACTTTGTCCCCAGGTTCATCTTGTTCTCATGGTGGATGCTTCGATGATGTCCCTGGACCTCTGGGATGTGTATTGGCACGTCTATATATATTTATGGTACAGGGATTGACTAGATTTTGTGATGGGGCAGCAGGCTTACCGCTTTTGAATTCTCCCATTTGGTCTAAATCTGGCTCCATGCGTCTTTATTCACCTGGCTCAAGTTGTCGTCGTTCATCTTTGGTTGGTGGGGTTTCGTGTTTTAGCCTACCTCGATGACTGGCTGGTGCAGGCTTCGAGCTCGTTCTCTTTTCTGTTAGCCAGGAGTCTGGTTCTTTCCCAGCTTGCCGGGTTTGGGTTCTTGGTGAACTGGCAGAAGTTCCTGTTGGTTTCATTCCAGGTTTGTGTTGGAATAGTGCTCAGTGAACTGTCCAAATGCACCAGATCAAGACCACCAGTTGACATTGAATGTGTTTTAACCATGAGACAAATAAGAAGCGTAATAAGAAATATTCAAGCACAGGCAGAAGTGGCGAGAAGAGGTATACTGTATGAGAGAAGTCAGACCATGCAACATTATATGTTTGCTAGTCAAAACATCGATTTCACTTATGGTAAATTAGGAAATGCTTGGAGTGACTCTACACATGCGGCTCAGGCTTGGGTATAAATATTACTGGGAATAAGGAACCGGTGCTAATGATAATGAATCAAAGTGTAAACTATTTGGTATTTTAAGGTCTCACAGCCTCACCTTGATTGCCCACTGATTAATATAGATTATACAGTATAGAAATACTGAGATAAGGACTGTTCCTGAACAAATAGTCTGGATGTGTCACAACAAAAATATTGATGATATTCTGGAGAGAGATAAGAATTTTGCACTAAGATTGTAACCTTTTGTTGAATTGTTTGAATATCTGTTGCAATTTATGTCTGTGTACCTAGTCATAACAGTATTTGTATGCATATCTGGTATCATACTGAAAGTGTAAAGGAAATTTATCAACCAGAATGTTCAGTAATATGTTTGTGCTGTGTGTATATATATATTTATTTATATATATATACATACGTATATACATACATATACATACATACGAACACGTACTGAACAGGATGAGAATAACCTGAACTACTTCATCCCCTTGTGTGTATTTATACCTCAATAAACTTACTTCAGTTTCAATCCCAGGTTGGGCCTCATTTGGGATTCGGTCAGCATCACTGTCTCTGCCTCAAGTGGCCTTGACCCGACCACAGCACTGCTCTCTGTTGGTGTCGGTCGGCCCTGGGCGACTTGATGGCTGCTCAAGTGATTGTATGGTAGCCTGAAGTTTGTATCTTTTTTTTCTATAGGCTAGGTTTTGCTTCAGTGGCTGTTCTGGCATCTTCAAGCAGCCCCTTTCACCGCCGCCACGATTGTTGGGTGCAGCGCCCGTTGGCCCTTTGCTGGCTGCGGTGTTGTTGGCTTCCTCTTCAAGTGTTTCAGGGTTTGATTTCCTGGTGCCTTCCTGTGCCCTCACTCAACACCTTGATGGAGGCTTTGGTTCAGGGTTGGGGCTTTGTGACCAGTGTTCACCGTCACCAAGTTAGCCAGGATTATCTCCTCTCCTTCATCAAGCTCACAGTATGGTTTGGTAGTTTGCAGCCGTGTAGCATGCACTGCAGAGGGTTCAGATTCCTCCAAGGTCTATGCTCCTCTCTGCACCAATCCCAGACTCCTAGAATTCTATATTCATCAAGAAGTGCAAAACACCACTATCACAGGCCCTAAACATCATTTGGAGATGGAGTCTAGATACTAGTGTTATCGATGACATACTTAAAACGGAGAACACCCCACTTCACAAAGGGGGTAGTAAAGCAAATGCAAACAATTATAGATCAATAGTTCTAACTTCACACATCATAAACATCTTTGAAAGAGTACTAAGAAGTAAAAACACAAAACATATGGAACCACAACATCTATCAAACCGCGTACAACACGGGCTCAGAACAGGGCGCTCCTGCCCTCTTAATTGTTAGATCACTATGACATGGTCTTAGGTTCCATGGAAGACAAGCAAAATGCAGATGTAATGTACACGGACTTTGCAAAAGCTTTCGACAAATGTGAACATGGTATTATTGCTCACAAAATGAGGGCAAAGAGAATTGTTGGCAAAGTAGGGAGATAGATCTTCAACTTTCTAATGAACAGAACGCAGAGTGTAATAATCAACACGGTAAAATCTGGATAATCTACTGTGAAAAGTTCAGTCCCCCAAGGTGCTGTTCTTGCTTCAGTACTTTTTCTCTTCTTCATATCAGACATAGACAAGGATACAAACTACAGTACTCTATCATCATTTGCAGATGATACTAGGATTTTCATGCAAGTAGACAATATAGAGGACACAGCAAACCTCCAGTTGGATGTAAATCGGGTCTTTCAGTGGGCCACAGGTAATAATATGATTTTATGAAAATCGGTTCCAACTCCAGTGCTATGGAAAAAACGGAAATGTAAAAACGAAAACCATATATAGAACTAAATAAAATCACACTATAGAATGAAAAAACAATATAAAGGATGTGGAAGTACTCATGTCAGAAGACCTTACTTTTAAAAAACAAAATGATGTAGCTGTCATGACCACAAGAAAAGTGACAGGTTGGATAACAAGGACCTTCCAAACAAGGGATGCCATACCAGTGATACTTTTCAAGACACTAGTGCTTTCTAGGGTGGAATATTGTTGCACACTATTAACCCCATTCACAGCCAAAGAGCATGCTGGCCTAGAGAGCATGTAGTGATCCTTTACCCATAGAATCCACTCAATGAGTCATCTTATTGGGACCGATTAAAAGTTCTAAAACTTTATTCACAATCTGACAACCAGAAGGTCTTCCAGAAACAGCAATAAAAAACAAGGTCTTCCAGAAACAATCCCGGACTTAAGGGGCCTCCCAAAACCGAGCAGAAGAAAGAAAAGTAAGAGCTTGGTCCAAGTACCAGGTAGGCTCATGAGCAGGCCGGAGGTGAAACACAGCATGAGAAAGCTTACAAGACAGGGCCAAAGTGACAATCCTGAATGCAAGCAGAAGTGGCTCTGCCAATGCTGCATGATAGGAAGCGACAGTATTCGGTACAAGACTCCAGGAAAGAAAGGACAAAACAACAGGGTCAGAAACGAAAGGAAAATCCGGATAGAAAGAAAATGGCGAAAAAGACCACCAAGAAACCTTATGCTGTCATTGAGAAGATGACCACAGGTAGGACACCATTAAACCAGCCACTTGATTACCATACAAATGGCGATAAATAAGCTTTAGAAAGTCCAAAAGTACAAGGCAGAAGAGAAGGCCGAACCAGTAAGGTAAGTCACTCGCCTGACCTTCTGATAGAGGGGCGGAGTCATGGAAAAATGCCTGGGTTCGAACATCGTGTATGTAGCGCCTGAAGCCAAGGCTGGGCCGGCTACCAAGGAACCAGAAGAAGCGCACTTCCCCTGTAAGACTCCAGATGTGCCAGAACCCTGAGCAATAACTGGATTCAAGGGAAAGAGGTAAAGTATCCCCCATCTTGACCAGTCCTGCCGAAAAGTGTCCACCAGAGTGCCTCACAGTTGGGAAATGGCGCCACGTAAAGAGGCAGATGCCGAGACAAAGCCGAGGCAAAGTCGTCCACATCTGGACGCCTGTATGTTTGGCAAAGCCAAAGAAAGAAATTTATATCAACTGTCCACTCCATGGAAAAGGGAATGAAGCGAGTCAGACCAGGCCAGGACGTTGGAAACTCTCTAAAAGTGAACAGCGTGGAGA